GTTCTTGCTATACAATACTGTAGAAGTGGTTTCACCAATGCCCTGCATAATTGCAGCATGATATCCTTGTTCCATACTCCAGTCCTCTTGCAACTGATGGCCAACATAGTTTGCCACTTTATTATCTGCAGCTTCATACTTAATTTCAGTGACCTAGGCCTCTGAACTGATCCTTCATACATAAGCCACTCAACCTGCATTGCTATTTTTGCTACAATAGTGAATAATCTCCAGTTATCTGCTCTATATTGCACTTGCCCACTCAGCCAGTCCAAATCATACTACAAAATCTGCACCCCCTCATAGCTGGCACTTCCAGTTTTCCTGTCTGCACACTAAAATTACATTTAGTTCTGTCATCTAAATCATTAAAACTGAAGAGCTGGGGTCTGAATCATCTTGGATCCAACTGGTACTAACCTCTTTCAATCTCAACTACTTTTCCTGTGTCAAGGCATAGCTATCTTATAGTCTTGCATCAGTGGGCAAATTATTGGAAAGGGCTCTGAGACAGGACTTATGATCACTTGGAAAAGCACAATTTGATTCATGATAGTCAGCATGGATTTGAGGGGTGATCATGCCTCAAACCTTATTGAATTCTTTGAAGAGGTGACCAAACATGTGGATGAAGGTGGAGCAGTGGATGTGGTATACATGGATTTAAGGTGTTAAGGTTCCCCATGGTAGGCTTATGCAGAAAGTAAGGAGGCATGGGATAGGGGGAAATGTGGCAGATTGGATTCAGCATTGGCTGACCATTAAAAGACAAAGGGTGGTAGTGGATGGAAAATATTCAACATCATGCTCCGGTACAAGTGGTGTACCATAAGGATCTGTTCTGGGTCCTCTTCTATTTGATTTTTGTAAATGATTTGGATGAAGGAGTGGAAGGGTGGATTAGCAAGTTCATGGACAATACAAAGGTGGATCACGTTGTGGACAGTGGTGGAGGGCTGTTCTAAGTTAGAGGGACATTGATAGGATGCAGAGCTGGGCTAAAAAGTGGCAGATGGAGTTTAACCCTGAAAAGTGAGGTGATTTTTTTTTTGGAAGAACAAACTTGAAAGCAGAATATAGGGTTAACAAAGATTCTTGGCAGTGTGGAGGAGCAGAGAGATCTTGGGGTTCATGTTCACAGTTCCCTGAAAGCTGCCACCCAGGTAGATAGTTGTTAAGAAGGCGTATGGTATTAGCTTTCATTAATAGAGGGATTGAGTTAAGAGCTGTGAAGTTGTGCTCCAGCTATACAAAAGCCTAGTTTGGCCACATCTGGAGTAGTGTCCAGTTCTGGTCACCTCATTACAGGAAAGATGTGGAAGTAGGGAAAAAGTGCAGAGGAGATTTACCAGGATGTTGCCTGGAATGGAGGGAAGGTCTTACGAGGAAAGGTTGAGAGCACTAGGGCTTTTCTCTTTAGAATGACAAAGGATTAGAGGTGTACAAATGATATCGGGTATAGATAGAGTAGACAGCCAGAGACTTTCCTAGTGTGGAGGTAGCTTTTGAGGGGACATAACCTTTTTAAAGTGAAAGGAGGTAGATATCGGAGATGTCAGAGGTAGGTTCTTTACTCAGTGGTAGGGGTGTGGAATGCATTGGAGAGGGTAGTGGAGTCAGCCTCATTAGGGGCACTTAAGCAGCTATTAAATAGGCATATGGATGATAGTATAAGGTAGTGGTGGAGGTTAGACAGGATAACAAGGTGTAGAGCTGGATGAACACAGCAGGCCAAGCAGGAAGGCTGATGTTTCAAGCCTAGACCCTTCAGAAAATCAGACTCCTTCCTCAGATAGACCTTGGGTTTTGGGTAAAAGTTTGGCCCAACATTGTGGGCCAAAGGGCCTGTACTGTACTGTTCTGTTCTCATACTTTTTGAGGTTAATAAATTACATAACTGAAGCTGGATGAATAACAAAGCAACCTTTGCTGGTAAGGTTGTGAATCATAAAACCAGTATACAATTGGTGTGGAATAGTCAATTGTCCATCTTATCCAGTAAGAATGATCTCTTGGGTGGAGAGAGAAGGCAGGAATTTTAATCTCTGAAATTTTGGTTCAACAGAGCAAACTTATTGGCCTGCTTTTAATCACTTCTGACTTGATGCCAATGTACTGTTCTGTAATTAAAATGCTAAAGTACAGCCAAAGCTATTTAGCTAGAATTGAATTCCTAACTTAATTAGTTTTTAGACTTGACCTTTGGTTCAACTGGAGAACCAGAACTAGAAATGCAGGTTTTTAGTTTTCTATTGAGTTGGCAAAACCACTGGAGGAATGTGTGGCAACTTTTAACACTAATCAAGTCCAACTGACTTGAGCTGATGTGCAGAGTAAGTCAGCTGCATTTCAGTGTAATTATGAAATTAGCAATTGTTCTGTAGTAAGGGTGATAACAGCATACAAATGCAAATGGCTAGCACTTGTCTGTGTGGTTTGATCAGGATTGCTTGTGGAGAGTTGACTGTTTTGTAAGTCTTGGTGTTGATGTTCTAAGGCATTTAAAAGGTTATTTGGGCCATATTTCTTTCTAAAGAGGACATTTGAACAGCTAGTTTTTTAAAAAGAAAATGAGGGGCAACTTTGTGGTTTGTGGAATAAAATGCAAAAGTAGTGTTGGGTGCAGGTACAGTTATCCAAATTAATCCATTTGGATGAATACATAAATGGAAATGTTTGGGGATATGGGCCAAACACAACTAGTTTGGAACATGGTTGGTGCAGACTCGTCAGACCAAGAAGTTAGTTTCCATGCTGAATGACTGTTAAGGGTTATAGTGGGATTCCAAAAGTTGATCTTTCTTTAACAAAGATACTTGCCTTGGAGGTGTGCAATTAGGGTACATCAGACAACTTGCAAGAATGAACTTTTAAAATTTAAAAGCACTCCATCCTGTGGATGGCAAGGCAAATCTTTCAGCTGAAAAAATGAGATGATCTCATGCACTTGTAATAAGTGCTTGACTAGACCAAGCAGGAGTTCTCTTCCTCCTTACCCTGCCTATTTGCTACTGGTCTAGTAGCCAGCTAGCCAAGATTACCAGCATGTTGACTTTTAACTTTCAACCTTAATCCCAAGTTGCTCCTACACTGGGGCAACATAGGGTGGGATGGCTTCAAGTTTCTCAGTGGATTCTACCATGAGATGAATATGGAAATGCTTGTGCAGTTAGTGGTGCCTTTCCATGTAGAAGGGGCCAATGGATTGGATTAAGAGCTGTTGAAGGAAGAATAAGTGATAATGGAGATCCACCCTTGTATGAAGGGTGGAGATTCAAATGCTGGAAGACCAGATTTGAAGTCTTACAATCCCAATGGACTAGTCATGAATCCTGTGCTTTCTTCCCTCCAAGTGTTTGGAAGCCAGCAGGGTGTCTTAGTGTTGTCTTAACATGGTGGGATATCACACTCTCTCTTGTGTCTTTGGATTGGAGATACTGAAAGCAAGGGTATATAAATGTGAAGCTGGAAAAGCACAGCAGGCCAGACAGCATCTGAACTGGAAATTTAATACTTTGGGCTGAAACCTTTCATCCTGACAAAGGGTTTTGGCCCATAACTTTTTTCCCCTGCTCCTTGGATACCAGCTGACATGCAGTGCTTTCCAGCTTCACATCTATTGAATTAAGTTAAATGGGTTTGGCTATTGGGCTGTTTCCTGCAAGGAGCTGAGTTGACTGGTTGTGTTCCCTCCCCAGTAGGAGGGAAATATTGCAATTTCTCCCAAGAGAAAGTTCAACACAATCCAAACGTAATTTCTGAAAACTGCAGTTCTTGGCGTTCCTTAAGTAAAGGTGCAGTTTTGCACAAATCAACTAACCATCAAATGATGGTCAGTATTGAAGATTTAACCTTTGCTTCAAGTGGTGTTATCCTGGATTCAATTTGCTCACTTGAACTTGAGGTTTTGCACTTTAAAACCAGGTCAAATATGTAGTATGGAGGTGGGAAATGAACATGGTTCTGAATGAATCTTATCTGCATCTCTCTACACAGAATGCAGATAATACAGCTACCTCAATATAGAAATTGCTAAAAGGCCTAGCCTCTTCTGGGGACTGTCTAGAACACAGGATCATGAGCAGCAGAAAACCTTTCATGTGAATATTTATTTGTCATGCTGTTGAGCTATAGTTGAGCTCAACAGGAAACTTGGATAGCTTTTTAGGTGACAGAAATGCAACTAATGGCCTGCTTCTGTGCCATAAACATCACTTCCATGTAACTCATCTTACAATTCTCTGCCTAATGTTTGTTTTTTGATTAGCAATTTTGACACAGAACTGAGGCTAACCAACTCTACTGCCATTGCAATGAAAATTGCAGCCTGATATTAGTCAACTGCATTAAGACTCCGATTCCTTGGTGACTGCTGCATTATTTGGAAATGAGTTATCAAGCCTGAGCAATTTTTTTGCTTGAATGTGAATCTTTCCAAAAACTAGATTAGATCTAGGGAGTTCCTTGCTAGAAGTCCTAACTGGATGCTATTGAACAGGGCTTAAACTTGTGACTTTGTAGAAGGTCCAGTATTACATAGAACTACCTGATGTTCAAGTTCTGACCACTGGTGTAATTGCTAAACTATTAATTCAGCACAACTCAGGCCAGTTGTTCATAAACTAAAGGTATGACCAGCAGTCTGACTTAAGTGCTTCGAGCATTCCCAAGTAATCTGACCAGTATCATCAGGTGAGGGCTATCAATTCCCTCCTTAACCATCAGGCTCCTGCTAAAGCAGCACCCAGTTTAAACTTCTACTGAAGAGTAACATCTGGTAAATGAAATACTTCAGTTGAACTTGAACCTCTTGTGGAATCTGCCAACCTTTCCAATAGAAGTACCTTGTTAAATTAATGTCTAATGCTTTTTGCTCTGAAGGATGTATTAAAGCAGTAATCTTTAAACAGTAACTTGGGCTGGTGTGAAATATCACTTGGGTAATAGGAAAAGGGTGCACTTTAGGGGTTGATTACTTGTACAGTTGCAGACATTAATTGCTTGTTGCTCTTGTCTATAACCATTTCTTCTTTGTTAGTGACTACTTGTTCAAGCTGCTCCTGATTGGTGACTCTGGTGTTGGCAAGTCTTGTCTGCTACTCCGGTTTGCTGTAAGTACTTTGTGCATGTCTTTCACAAGTAACAAAGCCAGGTTATATCCCCAGTTCTGAAAAGTACAATTAAGATAGCTTGAGCATCTTTGTATACTTTCTATTTGCCTAATTCACCTCTACCTGACATACTATGTGAATGATTAATATAATCTGACTTGAAGTTAGTGTGAGTCAGCTCAATTGGCATACCTGTCTTACAAGTGGCTCCCACTTGCTATGATTTGTCAAGCATGACAGTTCATTAGAAACAAGGCCAAAAACTAATGCAAAGCTTTTGGTGGATGGGCCCAAAGAATGAATTGCAGAACTTAAGATGACAATTGTTTGTCAGGTCCCTTTTTAAGTCTTCTCTCCACTTTTTTAAAAACTCCTGATTTTGAACTACCTCACTAAAGGGAAAAGACCTTTGCTATTCACCTTTATTGATACCTCAGATCTTAACCTCTAAAGTCACTCCTGTCTCCAGTTCAGTAGAAAAAGTCCCAGCCTATGAAGCCTCTCCCCATAACTCAACTGCTAATCCTAGCCATATGCTGGCAAATCTCTTCTGAACCCTCAAATTTAATGCTTCTGTAGTGGGGCAACAAGAGCTGTACAGAGTACTTCAAAAGTGACCTTGCCAACATTCTGTACAAAACCCTGTCTTGACTTGAAAGGTCTGAGTAATGATAGCAAGTGTGCTAAAGGCCTTAACTCTGTCTCCCTGACAACTTTCAAAGAACTACAGAACTATCAGGTCAGTGGCTTATCTACCTTTTGGACCTTTCAGCTTCCCCAACACCACTGACCACTATACTCCCCTCAACACAAAGTTAGTATGCTACTAGTGTAGCACCTACTCATTCCTGTGCTGTTCCTTTGTTTCCCCATTTACTACTACTCAGTCTCTGTAGCTCCATGACCGGATGTTGGATGGTCCCCACTGGTATATGACAGAATCCTTTGAAGTCAGAGGAATGTCATCACCCTTTCACCATCCAGCCACTGTTCTTGTTGAGAGCAAACTCCCTCCTGTGGACATTTTTGTCTACAGGATGGACAAAATTTCATCCTCCACCCAGTTGACATGCAGGAAGATTTGTAGAATGTCAGCATGCAGATGTCATCTGCTCTTGAAGAAAATCTTAAATTTTCACTTAATGGCTTCAGTGTGCCAAAGAATTGGTCTCTGCCTCCAACCTTAAAACAAATGCTCTACCAGCCTACCTCAGATTAACTTCCAATCATGGAAGATTTAACCTCATTGATACTAGCCTTGGATAGGGAGTAATGTGGAGCTTTGACAGCATCCAGTCTGAGTGCTGCCTTTGGACACAAGGATGAGTATCTTTGCTCATGGTATCCATGTTTATACCAAGATCCTTGTGTATAAGGCAGTTCACACTTCCAATTCTTCTATAGGGCTCTGGAACTTGGACTAAACATAATTGGCATTTCAAGACTCCTGAAATAGCATTTGCTGTTTGAGACATTTTATACATCAAGAGGCTAGACATACTAATGTGTCCTTGAATCAGCTCATGGCACCAGCATTGGCCATGATTGTTTTCTTTGAGGTGTGGGGGGGTACTGCTGACCTGGCTATGAGCTTAGGATGCCTGATTCTTCAAAGAATTCTCAATTTTCAAAGGAAGTAGTTCAAAGACTAGCTTCCCTAAAGTGTAGAACAGATGTCAGTACTTGAAGAGTTTTTTAGAAAAACTAACTTAGAGCAAATTCCTGTATGAAGAGAATTCTTCAAGAATACTTAACAAGAGGAAGTATGGAAAAGGAAGCAGAGGTATTAAATGGTCAAGGACCATTTCCACTCCACCAGAGAAACCTGCCAGATATGACAAATGCAGGCTTATCAGCCAAAAATTCACAACCAATGACACCATTTTCTAGGTGGACAAGCATACTTATCAGTAGACAATTGTCTTCATTGTTTGAAAGCAAATCTTGTAGTTAAACTGTATAGAACTCATCCCATGTATAATTGTGACAATGGCACCAAAGCCAAGGATGTGCAGTACTTCGCAGCAGCCTCCATCTTGTCTACTCCTTTCCTTGCAGCTATTGAAATGCAAGTGAGATGTCTGCTGCTGCTTTCAAGCAGTGTGGGAGTTGTTTAAAGATTGGTACAGACCCTTGGTGCCAGCCCACAAGATACTGCCAGCAACAAATAGTTAAATTCCTTTTTGTAGGATGTGGACATCACTGGCTAGTTAGCATTTCTTGCCCATCCATAGTTGCCCTTAAAGATGAGCTGCCTTGAACTGCTGCAGTCAACCTGCTATAGGTTGACCCACTGTCATTAGGGAAGGAATTTCAGGATTTTGACCCAGTGACAGTGGAAGAATGGTGATATTTCTAGTTTAGATTGAGTTAACCAAGTGTGGGTGTCCAAGGCCAAGAGCCTAACAACTAGACTGGCTGTTGGATAGCTGAACAGCTTGTGGGTATGAATTAGGCCTTTGAACTAAAAGGCTAGCTGTGGTCTCAAAATACCTAAAGCTTTAAACCGAGAAAACATTTAGTTGTAATCTGGCTTTGAACCAATAAGTCAGACCTTAAACTTGAACCTGTATGCCTCCTGGTGAAGCAAACCTGAAGGTTGAGATCAGAACTAAAGGACACGGAAACTAGAGCATTCTATCCCAACCCACATCTGTTTCAGGATACCAGTGATGTAGAGTTCACCCTCAACCACCATGAATTTTGAAGCCTGTTACTTAGACCACAAGTGTTTTAATATTAAAAACAGGCTGCCATTGTTGCAGCAAGCAACTAATCACTCCAAGATGAATTCATGCTGTTTTGTTAATGAATTGCATTGTTTTTCCAGTGTCTTTCCTTCTACCATAACACCAGTTCCTGCATCTCAACTGCTATGGAGGGAGGTGAAGTTTGCTATAGCTAGTAGTTAATGTTGACAGTTCACAGTAATGGTTAACAATTATTCTAATTCATTAGAAGTTAAATGCACTGTACCTGGGTCTAGCAAACAGGTATGCTGGACACTTTGCATACTTATCAATTTTTATATCTAGTCCAAGAATAGTATACTGGAAATCAAGGCTTACTATTTCCACTGAGGCATGATGTTTTGCTGTCTTAAGCTCTCTCCTGGACTTGCAAGTTCCAGCTACAGCTGGTATGCCATGTTAAAATCACTAATGGCTTTATCTTTACTCCATTTTCTTGGCCAAATAAGTTTTTGGTTAGAGGGAGAAAATACTTGGTGGGGGGGGCAGGAAATCCACTTTCATTCTTGGAGTTATATTTGAATGTTTCTGGTGTTAAAGTCTGGACTAGTCTTTCAGCTGTTATGATCAATTACCAGTCAATTCAACAGGGCATTGAATCAGCTTACTCACTCCTAGTTGAGGTTGACAGTGAGGTAGGGTAGTGAATGGTGGAAAAATTCTGTTTGGTATTCTCCAAGAATCCCAGTAGTTTCATCTGGTTTTATAATGAAAGCATATAGTGAATGTACAAAATCCTATTTAAGGACTTTTTCATGATTTCTAACTTTGGGCTCATTTGCCTTGCATTCAAGGAGTTGCTTAACTTTCAAACCAAGTCCTTAATGATCCTGCTCAGGCCAGACCTCAAAGAAGCACATGGGGTTAGAAACCATGTTACTTTAGTCTAGATGAAAATTGTAGCTTTCAATAAAAGGCTATTTTGGATGAAGTAAGAATTATTCTATTGATCTATTAACCCTTGAATTCAAGGGCATAGATGTGGTTGGAATCCACCCTCAAGTCTAGTTTGTAGCTCTTCATTGCATTCAACAAAACCTGAGCAATAATTCTCATTGTTCATGACTTTCCACTTAATTCTCCAGCACTGATCAGCAGATACTGTCCCTGTCTAGTTCAATGCTGTTTACCACAGAGTCTGCTTCTCTAAGATGAGTCTTAATTCAAAGTGTGGCACTCTTAATTGCAGTCTTGGAATTTCATGTCTGTAGAATTGATTAGTTTTTAATTTTGAGGTAGAATTTCCTTTGGCCATGTCTGATCAGACTGCTTTACCTCAGTGCCTAGATACTAGTCAGTAACTCTCTAACTACATGAACCTTCCAAAATGGAGACACTGTTAGTTGTTTTACCTTATAAAGTTCTCAACTGATTAGCACTTCTTTTAAGGACAACCCCCCCACCAAGCTGCTAGTTTCTATAACTGAGAACCACAGATCATTGTGTTTCAGTCAACATCAACACTGAGCTTATTTTAACAGTAAATTGGAGCAATTTAAATTTATAACTTGTAGGTCACTTAATAGTATTTTGGATGATCCAGAAATATGAACACTATCTTTCTTTGTATTCATTGTAATGAAGTTTGGTTCTGATGAATTTCAGGTGGTTGAAGCCTTCAGGCAGGAATCAGATGATTGAATATATCCCTCAATTTTCTTTTTAGGATGATACATACACAGAAAGCTACATAAGTACAATTGGTGTTGACTTCAAAATCCGGACCATAGAATTAGAGGGTAAAACCATCAAGTTACAGATTGTAAGTATGTCTGGAATATAGTCTGGCATTGTTTTTGACAAAGTTAGTCAAGTTCCATTTTTTGCTTTAACCTTTTTGAAGGCCAAGCTGAATTGGTGCAAATGACATCAAACTTTAAGTCTGCAGAGCTTGAATAATTGCCATTTCACAACTTGCAAGAGAACTTGATTGGACCTGTGGGTGGGGTTACTCTAGCTAAAGGTACAAGAATTTATGCACTTGCAGTGGGGTGAGGTATATGAATGAATATTTGCTTATACTTTGAATTGGTTAACACCTGTGCAGTGGAATGGTTACTTGGCTTTAAGTGTTGGTGTAGATTAGGGGAAGAATGTAGCCTTGTTATCCTGACCAAACTAGTAGTGTGGAGACTTTAAACTTGTGTTTTGATACATACAAGATTCCATCCTTGTTACTAGAGCAACCCTTCAGTTCTCCCTGAGGGATTTTCCAATGCTCCAGAGTTAACTTTGCTACAAAGACTACCTGAACTGTTACTTAGGTCATTGGTGCATTAACTGGAAGAAATAAACCTGTTCAAACTGCTGTGACATCCAGCTAGATTTCATTTGTAGCAGGGTTATATTTCTGAGCTGGATGGGATAGTCTCTCCAAAAAAGAGCCAACTGGTATTAAAATTCCCCTTGAGTATTCCAAAAGAACAAGCTGAGACTCTGGTCTAGGCCTGAGTGTATGTGAAGGTGAATAAGCTCAGTCTTAGAATGGTTGCAAAAATTCTATTCTAAACACAAATTCTTCAGTTGAATACAATGTTGATAGCCTTCATCTTGAAGGCTAGATGAACCTGTTCAATGCATTGCTTCCAATTGCCTTTAAGTAGGTAAGGTAGCCAGTGCTTGAGAAAATGAGTGACAACTGTAAATATGGTCTTCATAACATAGTGACATTGAGTAAGGAGAAATGCCAGATTTGCCAGTTGAAGCAGTGCATGGTTGAAGGAGATGTTTTTACTGAAACTTGCTTTGATTTAGGGTAGGTTGGTCACTGCTAGTCTAATACCTTGTATCCCTTGGTTGCTCTGAATTGGAGTGGAAACAAAGGCTTGCTGTGATCACCCACACTTTTAGAGGGTTCTAAAGGTGTGGAAGATATTTTGTACTTGAAGAATACACAAAGACTGTCCTAGCAATTACAATCCAGCTAAACTGCAAGGTTTTGGAATCTTTAAATTGGGAAAGGCTATCAATGGGTGTCTTGAGTTTCTTGTACAAGCAGCAACATATTTGTCTTTCCTTAAAGATAAGAGGGATTGAGTGCTGCCTACAATCTGCCACAGGCTAGTTAACAATTTTGGGGCTTGTGGAATAGGAGGGTCAGTTTGCAATTGAATAAAGACAAAAGACAGGTTGTGGTAAATTAAGCTTTTAAGATGGTAAGATCTTGTCTGGTAGCAAGTTGTGGGAAACAAGTTTTTTTTTTTTTGTGTTCTATACATGATTTGACATCTCAAGTATTTCCAAGTGGCAAATTGTTTAACATGATACAAATGCCTGCAACATGAAACCAGAGAATGAGCAGGCAAGTGATAAATATCTTGAGTACAAAAGCAGGGGAAGTTTTTAATCTTAAATTTCAGTTGGGGCCTGAATATTTTTGTCCAGTAGTGGCCCCCATGCCTTAGATGTGAGACACCTGGAGCAGTTTGCAGAGGTAGCCAGAATGGTTCCTCAAATGAATGATTGGGTTGGAAAGCTGAGATCCTCCTCCATGGAGGACAAAAAATTGAGGGAAGCTCTTGATGGGTATGGAAGGTTGACAGATTTGGAAGGTAGACCTCACTAACTGATCTTGTAAGGACTAGGATTCATGAAGCAAAAGATGTAGGATTGAGGAAGAACATAGTGAGGGGGCTCCAATGTACATTCAAGATGAAGCTGACTTTAGTAATGATGCCAAATGCTTTCTTTTAGACACCCTGGTCAACTTTCAGACCCAGTTGTGTAAAGATTCCTTAAAAGGAACTAAAGGGCAACATTTTTTATGCAGAGGATGGTGTATGGAATGAGCTGCCAGAGAAAGTGGTGGCAGCTGGTTAGGCATATGAAAAGGAATGGTTTAGAGGGTGTATGGGCCAAATGCTGGCAAGTGGGACTAAATTTGGGATATCTAGTTGGCATGTCCAAGCTGGGCCAAAGGGTATGTTTGTGCTGTACATCTGACTTTATAAATCTTTGGCATTCACGTTATCTTGTGTCACTGGGTCCTAATCTGAAAATTGTTTTTAAACAAGTTTTAACATGTGTTTCAGTGGGATACAGCAGGACAAGAGCGATTCAGGACCATCACTTCCAGTTACTACAGAGGAGCACATGGGATTATTATTGTGTATGATGTCACAGATCAGGTAGGATGGCATTAATCACCTGGTTGTTTGTAGTGTGGCATGAGTCACAATAGATATGGGACAGTTGCTTCTCTCTGCCATTTTATGTAAGGAATGATATACAATAGCTAAAACTATCCTATTGGCTATTTGAGTTGAAGATCAGGTTATCTTGTTTACAAAGTCTGGAGCTTTGTACACAACAGTCTGTAACATCAGACTACATTAGGAACCTGGAATACATGGCTTTTGCCTGCCTTAAAAGTAACTTGAGAAACTTTTTTAATTACCTGGTCTGAATTGTCTTTTGGGAGCTAAAGTTGGACAGCTCAGTACTTATAATCACACAAGTGGCATGTACCATTCTGTCATTTGAGGTACTATATTACCAATTCTAAACATGCAGAATTTTGGTTCAGATCTAACGTTTCAATTGTCCTGCCTCCATTCAGTTTGAATCATGTGAAATCCAAATTCTGCACTCACTGTTTGCAATCCTGATCTGATTTGATTCTAGAGTTTGGTGAGGGTGACAATCCAGATACCAGTTCTCCTAGACTAACTTCACAATCCTGAATTTCTATGCATCTACTATAGAAAGACCCTGCAACCAAAGTGATTATATTTGTGTTCAAGGACAAGTATCCTAATCTCATCCCTGTCTGTCTGAAACTGATTAAACATTGTTAATGGATAGGTAGTGTTATGGAGTTTCTCTAGTTGGTTTATTTCTCCTGTTCTATTCTAACCTCTTGCACCTGTTCTTGCTTTTTAGACCTTCAGTCCCTTCTTTCCATTGATGTACATTGTCATTAAGTGTGTAAAACAAAGTTTGAATTACTGCCGTTTCATCTGAGACCTTTCTCTTCAGTAGTGCTGTAAACTGGTTTTTCTTTGGCAGGCTCCTCTGCTGTTAACCCATGTTTCTGCTCCACTCAGCCTCCTTCCTTACCTAGCAACTGAATTGCCCCTTCTCTTCCATATGCACTTGTGCCTCCTAATCAATGCTATTTGCTAATCTCTGAAGGTTCTTTGAGCTAATAAGCCTTTGGCTTTGTGTGTGGGAGATTATGCCTCAAATTTGTTAATTATTTGAAGTGACCAAGAAGGTGGTTGAGGGCAGGGCAGTGGTTAGCCTATATGGATTTCTTTAAGGTTCCACATCATAGGCTGCTCTAGAAGGCTAGATCACAGGGAATCCAGGGAGAGCTGGCAAATTGGATACACAATTGGCTTGATGGTAGGAAGCAGAGGGTAATGCTAGAAGGCCACTTGTCTGACTGGAGGCCTGTGACTAGTAGTGTGCCTCAGGTCAATGCTGAGCCCATAGCTGTCTGTTATCTATATCCATGACTTGGATGAGAATGTACAAGGCATGATTAGTAAGCTTGCAGATGTCACTAAAAATAGGTATCCTGGACAGGTGAGGAATATTATCAGAAATTGCAATAGGATCTTGATTGGCTAGGGAAGTGGGCTGAAATGGCAAATGGACTTGAACATAAGTATGAGGTGTTGACTTTCCAAAATGCAAATCCAAGTAGGAGTTTCATGGTGAATAGTAGGGCCTGGAGTAGTGGACCAAGGAAACCTTGAAGTTCAGGTGCACAGTTCTAAGTGGGGTCACAGGTAGACAGGGCAGTGAGGAAGGCTTTTGGCTCACTGGTCTTCAGTCAGGGCATAGAATATAGAAGTTGGGAAGTTATGTAGTTGTACATGATGAGGCTGCACTTGGAGTATTGTGTTCAGTTTTGTTTTTAGGAAGGCTGTTTTGCAACTGGAAGAATGCAGAAGAAATTAATAAGGATGTTGCTAGGACTTGAGGGACTGAGTTGTAGGGAGAGGTTGGACAAGCAGGACTTCCTTCAGAGAATAGGAGACTGACTTTTGGCAGGAGGTGGTGGCATGCTTAGTGTATAAGATAATGAGGCATGGATGGGGTGAATGTACTGTCCTTTATTTCCCCTCCCCAACCCTGCAAAAAAGCTTAGGCATTCTCCAGGGTAAGAGGGGAAAGAATACATGGGAACCTGAAGGGCAGCTCTTGAGGGTGGTAAGCATATGGAATGAACTGCCACCAGAAGTTGTTGAGGTGGGTATGTTAACAACACTTGAAGGCATTTGGACAAATAGGAATGTTTAGAAGGGTATGGGCCAAGTGCCAGGAAGTGGGCTTGGTGTGGATGGACATTTTTGGTCCGCACAGTTCAGACCAAAGGGCCTGTCTCTGCTGTGGGATTCTGACAATGACTCTGCTGTAAATCTGAGTACTTAGTCATAGAAAAAGGCCCTCTGGCCCATCAAATCTGCACCAGACAAACAACCACTTAACTAATCTAATCCTTTTTAGTACCTTGCTCATAGCCTTGTATGTCTTGGCATTACAAGTGAATATCTTTTCTCTTCCAACCCCCTTCTGCCCTTCCCTTTCTAAATCTCTGCCCCGATCTCTCCCAAGGGTAGACAGGAAGAAGCTTCCCCTATCTATACCCCCTCAATTATGTTTTTCTTCCCCCTGCCTGCTACTTTAAGGGAAACAAACAAGTCTCTCCAATCTCAACAAACTTTCCAGCCCAGGCAACATCCTGGTAGATCTCCATTGTGCTGTCACCCCTTGTGTGAATCCAGAACTCTGCATGCTCCTCTAGCTGTGGCCTAACAAATGTTTTGTACAGCTCCAGAATAATCCATCTTGACTAGAGGTGTAAACCTGTTATGGACTAGACTGTTAAAACATATTAAGGTAGCCTAGACTTAACCTTTTATCAAACCATGTAAGGTGCTGTGTTCCAGATACAATTCAACTAGTCTAAGCAAGGTGTGGGGGGAGAGGAGGAGGAGAAGAAAAACAGCAGCTTCAAAACTGCAGCCTCTTAAACTAAAAGCTTCAACTAGAAGTCTTTGGTCTGAAAAGCTGACTGTACCCAGCCAGGTGGCTGCTTTTGTTCCAATGTTTAAAAACACCCAAGGCCCCCTCCAACAGTTTTAGACTGCTCAGCATCTGTCCCCGATCTAAAAGAAAGCAGGACAAAACATTCTTAAAGCCATAGTATCATGACAATACTATAAGTCTCATCCTTTTGGACAAGTATCCCAGATTACCCCGACCTTTCTTTCATGAGAAATGTATCCCCTCTACAATAGGGATACAGCAGTTTGCTGAAATTAATTAACACCAGTGTTTGTTTCCCACTGGAAACTACATAAAATATGATAGCAATTTAAAGCTGCTTGACTACTTGATGTGGTGACACATGGTTCTTGTGTGGCTTGACACTTGGTATTTTTGCACTTTGCAGGATTCCTTCAATAATGTTAAACAGTGGCTAGAGGAAATAGCTCGCTATGCCAGTGAAAACGTGAACAAATTATTAGTAGGAAATAAATGTGATTTGACCACTAAGAAGGTGGTAGATTATACTACAGCTAAGGTATGTAAATTAACATCATTGTGGGTCTGATGGGTTTGGTACTCTGTTAGTAACTTGTTGGTAATGGTTTAACTTCTCCCAATTGAACAAGAATACTCCTACCAAGTCTACCATCTCAAGCTTTCAAAAACTCCAGATTGTAGGCTCTTGGATACCCCAAGGCACTAGAATATTAAATAAGGGCTGCAAGGGAATCAGTGTGACACTGCAGATTTGTGCAGCTTAATCTGCAGAGCCTGATTCTGTACAAGGCTTTGTCACATGAAAAAGCAGACCGAAGCAAAATCCACCCTGGCAGAAGTCTCTGAACACTTAGTTCTTGTACGCTACAAAGGCAGCCCTAGTTACTGGAAGCTATGTAACTTTGTTGGTTTGCATTGAAATGACAAAACTAATTAGAAATTTACCCATTTTTGAATAGCTGCCTCTGGAGAATGTAAAATACCTGGTTTATTTCCAGGTAATGGCTAATTGTAGTGTGTAACAGTTTGTATGTTTACTTAGGATGTCCATTTACTAACAAAAGGACAGTAAATCTTTGCATTTCCAGTTGTAGAGCTTCTGGAAGCAAGAATGTTTGTTTGTAAATATTTGTCTAGATTGTCCATCTTGCCCTCAAGTGCCAGTTTTCTGAAACTTAAATTTTTTTTTCTAAACTGAAAGTTGGTGGGAATGTAGATATCTTTCAAGAGTGACTGCCTTGATCCTAGGTGGCCTTTTAAACAGTGCACTAAATAGAAATATTTACCAGAAAGCTCATGTCTAATTTTTTCATAGGCTGATGTTGCTATCACAAATGCTGATGGATAAATGCAAATTAGATATGGCTTCAAATTTCATTATTTTGGAGCTCTTTAGACCAGTGTATTTTTGCCATTCAGGTCACCTTTATTGATTTTTAACTCTTCAAATTTCCAGATTGTACAGTTTGATCTAGACTAGCCAATGGCACCATGTCATATGAATGAAATTATTGTATTGCTACTCCTTGAATAGACACTAAGCCTTGCTAAGCAATGGACAAATGTTATTAAAATTCTACTTGGTGTCTGATACACTGGCCACTAGTGCAAAATTTGTCCTTGGTATTTGTAGGCAGGGGTAACTTGCTCCAATCTGTACAGAGTGCAATGGTTATTACTATCCCATCTGAAAAGGGAAACATGTTCTTTAGCCAGAATATGAACTAAAAGTAAAGATTCCAGCAAAATACTATGGCTGCTAGAGGTTAATATTTTAAAATGGCAACTTGGTCTGTTTCTCTCCCTCCCCCATCTCTTGTCCCTTCATTCTCCAGATGTTGCCAGATTTTGTGTAGAAGTCATATTGGACTGAAACAGTATTCTGAACATCTTTATTGAACTCCATTTCTCTCCACAGACGCTCCAGACTTTAGTTTCATTCTAAGCAGTAAAAACTAGAATGTCCAGAAAGCAAGTCTAAAATAAAATGGGTACAAAATTAATCTCCAGCTTCTGAGACACCACTCATAGAAATCAGGGCTAGAGCTTGTTTGGCAACAATTTGGAATGTTGAATTGACATACTTGTGCATACCCAACCCTAACTCTAAAGACAGAGCTTAAAATATGCCAGTGCTTGCATTAAAGTTGTAATGGCATTTTAACCAAAATGCAACATTAGATTTCTAATGAATATCCAGAACAATACAATCTGACTAATCACACCACCTAGCTGTTGAGTGTATTTGCAGTCAATCCCAGATCAATTTCAAATCATTCCTAGCTATTAGAAACTTTAGACCTTGGTTCTGGTCTCAGATTTTTTTGGGCTTGGATTTCCAAAATGACTGCTAATACTTCTGTAACATCCTTTTGTAGGAGTATGCTGATTCTCTCCAAATTCCATTCTTGGAAACCAGTGCGAAAAATGCCACTAATGTTGAACAGGCATTTGTGACGATGGCTGCTGAAATCAAGAATCGCATGGGCACAGGTCCTACACACAATGATGAGAAGTCCAATGTCCGAATCCAGAGCACTCCATTAAAGCAAGGCAGTGGTGGAGGTGGCTGCTGCTAAGGGCATTAGTCCAGCAGAGACAGATCTGTTCCTGTGCACAATAAAGTTAAACTTCAACTGCATTCGTCTCCTGACCAGTAATGGTTTTAACATGATGGCCCACTTGATTTGACAATTTCTGGCAGACTTTATGCCCAAAATGGACTTGACCAATTGAAACTCCAGGAAAAATTGTCTTAACTTTTTTGCCTCGAATGGCTTGTGTACTACTGTTTTGAAACACTTGGATTGTGACATTTTTGTAGTGGTCAATTTGCCTTCCTATCATTGTTGTCATCTTCTCTCCCAAAGGGTTTTGTGGATTGGGGTCAAAAATAACCAGAACATCTGATAGCAACATTTAAAGTTCAGCTGCACTAAATATTGCACTAGCAATTGCATGTTGGCATCCCACCCTTGCTGGGAATGGTAGTTGTGGAACTAGGTGAATAAAGTCCCAATTTGTAAAATCTGGCTTAAATTAAAACTTGGACATCAATCCTGAGATTAAATAAAAACTAACTCTGAATTTTAGCCATAATTTTATCTGGCCCTTAAATTCCCTCACTGCACTTTTACTTAACGAATATTAATCCTGCACTGTAACAAGTTCTGTTGACACTATTCTAAATGGAGCCATCAAGCTACAATTATGGCAATAGGTCACAATCTTTGCTTTTGAATTCTGTTGCTCCCCTCCTATTCACAAAATTGGATGTCATTTTAATCTGCCCTGATGTCACCACTTACTATTTTGCAGGGTAGAAATCTGGACCTCAAACAAATCTAAGATTCACTTCATTGGTTGTTCAAGATTCATTTGGGCTAATCTGAGTTGCAAGATCTTGTAAACAATACAATTGACTACAATTTTGACTGTAGATGATGCACAAGTTATGTGGACTAGAGTGGCAAATGGGTCAGTGCTGTCTTCACTGAAGTGAGTACTAAAAATTTATCAGGATGATTTGAAAATTACCAGTATTGAGGATGGATATCTGGATGCTTGGTCTGAGCTCAAATTGGATTGAAGTGTTTAAAACCAATTTCTTGGCCATTGGCCCAACTAGTTTGGGAAGTCTGAGCATGTCGTTTAATTTTCTTGAGCCATTGTATCTCTAGTAAATTGACCAAGCTTATTCTAATCTCTGAATTTGTAACACTTTCCCAGCAAATTGTTATAACAAAGTCTCTATCAATCTTGAGGCTAAAAGATAAATAGTCTGGCAATTTGACTGCTTTAAACTTGCAGTCAGTAACAGTTACCTGAAATGCATTCCTTTCACTCAGTCCAAATTTGAAGTAGTGTCTATATGGACCTTCTTTCTTTGCATCCTGTGGGTATTGCTTATAGTCCACTTCCAACTTCAGTTGTTCAATGTAATTTTCCCATGAAGGATGTGTATCCCCAATTATCTACTGCATCAATTAGTGCTGCAGAAAGACCAGTTTTTGTGCAGATGTAAATATTGCAATGACCCAGTTTGCAATCTCTGAACATGAAGAATTTTTGCCTGTCAGTTCAAACATTGATACAAATAGATTAAAATCCTAATGGGCAGAAGGCCCAGTTCATCCAGTATTCAGTTTCTGAACATTATGGTTATAAAGTAGTTTTCTTTGGTCTTAATTGTTTTAGGCTATAACTAAAGCTAAATGTTTACCATCAGTAACTAAGTGTATTGTCAAAACTAATTTTGGTATCTTGCATGCTGTGACTTTAATTTTCCTCTGCTTTATCCTCTTCCTCTCTCTATGACCCTCATTCTAACCAATAGCTCTCTCTAAACTCTAGATGGTGTAGCAATGTGCTGCTTTGCCTAATTCCTAAATCCATAAAGTTAAAGCACAAATGATCTGGCTGGTTAGTGCTTATTCTATTGGATTGATTTTAAAAGCAGCCCTTATTGTCTTTAAGTACATTTTTCCAAAGCAGTTGGAAATATGAATTCTGTGGATCAGATTTCCAGTTGCTGCAATTGGAGCTCACTTTTGTTAAGGTTATGCTGAAGCACAACTATTCCAATTGCTTTCTTCTATAGGGACTCTATTTCCTCAGTATCTTGCACATGCTTGTATTTCTCACCCTCTGCTATAATGCTGCCACTTTCTTCAAATGTCATTTTCAAACTTGCCTGTTATGATTTTAACCTCACTACTTCAGGAGTAAACTAGTTACCCTATAACTGCATCACTAGTTTGAGAACTGAGCCTCCACTTTGAATCTAATTTAAATCAGCTTAATTTTGATTTGTAAATTTCAATTGGGAAACTTTCCACTGGAAAAATGAAGTATACAACTCCTTTCAGATTCCAAATGAGATTTGTCTTGAGTCTTTCCATATGTAGCCTGAAATTTGAGTTGACCATTCCAAATGGGACACGAGCAGAGCCTTGGAACAGTTCTCCACTGAACTCCATATTTTGTTACATCAAGTAATGTCATTCTTTAGTCACTTTTGAATTACTTAAACTACATTCTGCATATTTCTAGAATAGTGGTGGTTTTGTTGGCTCTTTGTGGATGTTTACAAACTTGCAATGTTTTTAATTGAAGTTTTGGGCTAATTTTGCTGTTCTCTGGCACCTGAATTTCAACATGCCAAAGGCCACATCTAAAATTCTCTTCCTGTTTTTAAATGCATGTAAATCTGAATTGCAGCTTTGATCACTTTGCAAAGATTAATCAGTCAATAGTAACAAATGGCTCCTGTATTTTAAGAGCACTTTCTAGTTCCTGTTTTGACCCTTGCTTTCACAACACTCACTACACTGTCTTAGGAATAGCTAGCTAATCCCAAATGCACTAGTTTAAAATTAAGTAAATACTGTAATAGCTAGTATCTCTATTGGACAAATGCTAAGTCAGTTAACACTAATCCATTTCCATTGCTGTAAATCTAAGCAGTCATTTGATGGGAGTCCAGTATTGGGAATGATACCAAGGTCAAATATCAATCATTTCTCAGTCCTAGGTTGACTAATACTGGTAGTCCTG